TAGTCTAAATCCTTTTAATAATAACACAAATCACTCACACAAATAAAAATAGTAATGCATCATCAATCTTTTGTCACTTACAAATTAAAAACTAGTCACTTATATATTTTTCATATAATTTCTTTATTTTTAGTATTTAATATTTTTATATGCATTATATTAAGTGTGTAAATCCTATTATTAATTTTTTTGTGTTAAATATTATTTATTATGTTCAATTAAATTAATATTTAATTATAATAATTATATTAATATTATAAGTGTAACGACCCAACTGGTCACTACACACCCCACATCACACTAGAAACACCACACAGAAAAGAACAAGTGTATACATATAGAGTCTAGAATATACATATACATGATCCAAATCTGGATAGAGTTAAAGTGTACAAAATACAATCAAATGCTATTACACCAAGTAGCTCAATAACAAAACATCACAAAAGATCCGCCTTTATTTCCGACCCGGACAATTTTAGGGGTCTACAGGTTGTTTCAAAACTGCTCAGCGGATTCTTTTCAAAAATAGACCTAATTTTGATTTGCGATTTCGCTCAGCCATTTCAAAATGGCCCAGCCATTTTCTTCTAGAGACACTTTCATTTCTCATTTCTAATTCCGATCAGTTATTTCATGACAAAAACATCTTTTTTTCACAATTTTAGGGTTTCTAAACCTCTCCATTCCATCCCAAGCTTCCTACAAGTTTCAAATCTCAAATATAAACCATAAAAACTCATCTAAACAACTAGAATACATCAATTTCTAACAACAAAATAACTCATAACGAGAATTTAGGTACAAAATCAAGGTTTTCCCCCAAACCCCAAATACCACAAAATCTCCAAGAATCTAAGAACACCAAGTCTCCTTGCAATTCAATTTAACATTCTAACAACTATGCATCAATAAGCATTCATACCACACATGCAACATAATAATCCACACAGTCATCCACCAAGATGAAGTTCTAGTTTCCCTTATCTCGATTCTAAGCTAAACCAAGAAAGGAGGAGGAAAGAGAACCCTAAGCCTCCAAGTTCCACACCACCTTAACCATTTGATTCTTAGCTTAAGCTTTGAATCCGACACTCCCCACTATAAATTTTGCACTCCAAAAGAACCTAGAAAGAAGAAGGGAAGAAGAATCATAGATTATCTCTCTATATCTCTCTCTAAGATTTTTGAAGAACAAAAAATTATGAGCTTTATTCAAATCAGAAACCTTATATACTTTTTCTCCTAAGGCCAACTGAACCTTTAGTCAAGACTCTCACAACCTATCCAATGTTACAAAGATAAATAAAAATAATTATTTTAATATTACACATAAGTACACATTATTTTGTTAATATGTTTCAATCTAATCTTATTTTTAAAATATTCAATTTGTATCTTCTATTTTTAAAATAATTAATTTAGTTATCTAATTTCTTTAAAAATATATTTACTTTTGTATTTCGTATAATTTTATTAACGTCGATAATATTTACTAGTATGTTAACTTGTGTAATGCAAAAATTAAATGATTATACATAATTAAAATTTAAAATAAATACTATATTTAAATATATAAATTATATTTAAAATTTGAATAATGAATATTTTTAAAATGTATAAATTATATTTTATATTTATGATAAATAATTTATATTGTAACACAAATTTATTTTTATTTATGTATAATTTATTAAAAATACTAAAATTTAATTCATAAATAATTATGATAAGTAAAAATTGAATATATAAATTTAAAATAATTTCTAAAAAGCCTCTTGTCAAATAAAAACTCGTAAAATTACTCTCACGTAAGATAATCGTTCATTTTTATATATAAAGGTTGATTTTGAAAAAAGAACAATATTAGATACTTTTTAAAAAATTAGAGAGTTAAATATAATCATTTAAAAATAACAAAAGTAAATTAAACTAAAAAATAAATAGAAGAAAAAATATAATTTATTCTTTAAGATATAATAAAACCCTTCAACTCGATTTTTGCTAGAGCTTTCTTTTTACCAGTAATCATTTATTGAACTATTTTTTTCTTTTCAGCAAAAAGTTGTTTGTTTTATATAAGAATCTATATATATTTCCATTTTATTCAACAAAAAATTGAGTTTTAATAAATCTACAGAAAAAAAATTAATAGATTTATTCCCTTAAGTTTAAATCTTTAAAGAAGAGTTTAATAAAAATATATTTTCATATATAGATTTGTTTACGTATATATAGATAGATGTTATTTATTTATTATTCTAATTTTTTCTATTAATTGATGAAATAATATTTTAAAAATAAAACAGCAAGTATAATATCAATTAATCAATAAATTAAAAATTATTTTTAATATGACTTCTGAATAGTTTATCATAAAAGTTAAAAAATATATTATATATGAAAATTTATAATTTTCCACAATATATGAAAATTTATAATTATATAATAATATTAAAAAGAAATCAATTGTCGATACATGTACTGTCTATTCAAAAATTATAGAACTATGCTAAAGAAATATGTCGGCAAAACAAGTCCTTTCTTTCTTTTCGAAATTCCAAAATATTGAATCTGCTAGACTGTCCTATAACTAATGTCAAAGTTTACGAAAATCGTGAAGATAGTTTTGAAATTTTGTCTCATTTATTCAGGAATACAAAAAACCTAAAGAAAAATCTCATTACTATCTAACTTTGACAGAGCTGAAACTGAAAATAGATGCATGATCCATTTAACCAATTTAAAAGGGTACACGTGATTCGTGAAGAATAAGTAGTTAATTCAAACTTGGTGTCAATAAAAAGTAATTAATTCAAACTTACTGTTTTTCTTTTGGTATAAAGGAAATAAATTTAATCATTTACATTCAGAATATAACGATTAACGATGTATTTAAGTTCTGGATTGTGCATGAATTTTGTGCCGTCATCCAAAACGAAGATCGTCAAATTATAGTTATCTGGCATCATATTATAAATTTAAAGGTTTTAAGGTTTATGGTTTTTGTATTAAAGTTAAATTTGATTCCTTGTTTATAAATTTTAGGTTTTTAATTAGAACAATTTGGGATACCTGTTTGGACCTTCTACAAACATATTGCAGTGGAAGGTGCATACCCTAACTCCTCATATTAAAATTGTTTTATGTCTAATTTCGAACCCTAAATATCCACACCCTCCATCGTGCCACTATACGTATACTCCACGACACGACAAAGTTTGAATTTCGATTCTCTTTATTTCTTTTTATGTTTATTATTTTCATTTTTTTAAAACTTTTGGAATAAAACAAAAAAAAATTGAAGGTGATACGATCTTTGGATAGAGTGATTTATGCTCTCAAAACTTCAGTAATAAAATAATAAAATAAAAAAATAGAGAGAATCTTTACTCAGAGAATCCCATTACACCACATGCACGCCTTGCTCCACCACATAGTGAAGCTTTACAACAAAGATTAATATAATATTTGGTTTAAATGGAATGAAGGGGAAGGGAAGAGATCTTTTTAAACTTATGTTGTTTGGTTAAATTAAAAATTAAAAGTGTTAGAAAAGATGACTTAACTAAGAAACGGGTAGTGAATTGGATTTTACAAAATTCTTTTTAAGTTTTTAGGACAAAAACTTTTCTAAAAATTTTCCAATGAATCAAATGGTGGATTTTTGAGCCTGTGTGAGATGTTATACTGAAAGTTCTTGCTAATGTGAGTTTAGAATCTAATTACTCTACATGTAATGATTATGAATTATATAACACATATTACTTGTAACACTTTTTAAATTTGACGTCTCAACGACTTCACTTCACATAACTTGTTAATTATAAAATTTTATCGGTCAGAGCCCTTTAAGTAGCCCTTTTGATGTGTTCGATCGTTTCTAAGATCAACAATTGTCTTCACAATCTCACCCAAGACTTTACAGCATGTTTTTTGTCTTCACTAGCACGCTTTCTGAAAAACTTTTCAAATAGTCACTCATCTCTAAATTATTTCAAGTCAAGCACGTTTAACTTTGAAGTTCTTTTATGATGAACTATTAAAAAATAAATGCATCTTATTGATATAAATATAAATTAATTCTTTTAAGTGATGTTCAACTATACAATATTGCACTTGTACAAATCTTTTTATCTTTCTCATTTTAGTATATCCAGGTTGTTACATTACTCAACATGATATCATATTAGCAAGAATAAAAACAATTGAAAGAATGAGAGAAATTATTCATTATCTTTGTTACTAAGTAAAGTTAAACTCATCATTTATAGGCAAATAATACAATATTTATTTGGTAGACATACCTATTAAATATTCTTTGGTGTCACAAGTGTAAAATTCCTCTAATAAATCTACTCTTAATTGGATAAGTAAAATCATAAATCAAATTAACTATTACATGAATAGTGATACTTAATCTAAAAATCTCTAATATGTCATTGATTCTACTCGATGGTCATGGAAATATCATTCCTATATACTATTTTTATTATTAAAAATAATAATCTAACATTTTTAAAATATGTATATAATCATCAAAAAAGAATAGGACTATTTTTTTTTTGCTGTATTTAGTAATTGGACTCTCAATCGTGGCAACTTAATTAGATTCATCCGAATATTTTAAATTTCAAAATTAGCCCCTAAAACTCGAGTGTACCAAAAAATAAGAAAAGAAAAAATTCAAACCGATCATATCCAAATTATAAAATTTGATTACTTTTTTTATAAAAAAAATAATATACTTTGCAAAAATAACTCACTTGATCCATCTTTATGAAGTGAATCGTTTCATTTCAATTTTTTTAAAATAATAATCTATATATAAATAAAATATGAATAATCAAATTATTCCAAACTAATCTAATTTATAAAATAAAATAATTAAAAATATCTAGTTTTTTTAAAAATCAAATTGATCCACAATATAAAAAATATTCAACTAACTAATATCCATTAGTTTGATTCATTTTTGGAACTTTCAAAACTCTGATCCATGATCAGTCCTAACACACAAATCACACAAAAATCACAAGGAAAAAAATAAAATATAGTCCCAGTTGGTATACATCCACTCTTTAAGCATTCAACCTTAAATTCTTATGAAAGACACGAGCAAATTCCTCGAAAATGCTAAACACAAACCAAATTGCGAGTACAAATGTGTAAACGGGGTCATAATAAACATGGTGTGGAGAAAGAAAATATTTACATACAAATGATACAAGAATACAGTGAATTATCTAGTTTTTCTCAATCCACAAAAAACCACTGAAAAGACGGTGGGTTTTATTTGTTGATCACTGTCGTAGAACCATTAGCTGGCCTTGAAGACTTCTTCCCCTCAATGTCCATCTCTTTTACACCATCACTCAGCGAAGATGATTCACATTTCTCCGCCTTACAAGGTTCAGAATTATTATCCTCGTCACTTTCATCCTCAATAGGAGAACCCTTCTGTCGCATCTCTTTCACTTTAAGAAATTCATCATAGTGGGCCTTTCTGTGCTCTTTAAAACTTAAACTCCTATCTGTTTCAGAATCTGACGGTATGTACCCAATCCAGGAAAAGTTAGGATCGGTTAGAAAAAGAATAGGCAATCTATCAATACAACAGCAAACAAATTCACAAAATTACTCGTGATAAAAATGGCAAAAAAGAAGTTTCGTGATCATCAAAATGGAATAACTTCCTTCCACGAGAGAGAAATGACAAGATTCCAATACCTTCCTGTTCCCCATCAAATAGATCTGAACTCATTATCACACAGTTTACTGAAATTTGAAACAATATAATGATGAACACAATAGCAGCAGTCTCCACAGGTCAGACATTTTGCCCATGCCCACACCACACAAGTACTTATCAAGATTTGGAAGAACATTCTTAGCTATATATAAATTAATTAGCTATTGGTCACCACCACCAATGAAAAAAGAAATGGACTTTTCAGATCCAACAGAGTGAATAATAGGCAGGAGAAATAATTACTGCTGTGTTGTTGTGTCCCAAATTATCAAGATAGAACTGCCTCGTTAACATAGAAGCAACTCTAATGATGTGTTTGGATGGGGAATTTATATAGGGTAATTCATTTATTTGAAAATTTCAAATTCTTTGATGTGAAATGCTTTGTTTGGATGAGGAATTTACAAAGAATTTGAAATCCAAACATTTGTGAAATTCCTTAAAATAGTAGAATTTCAAATTCTCCCAAAAATGGGAGAATTTGAAATTTCTCATATTTGTTTTTCTTATTTCACCTATATATTTTATCTTATCTCTTCATTCTTTTAATTATTGGATATTCAAAATTATTTTTAAAATTATTAAATATTACCTAATATTAATTTTTAAAAGTATTAAATATTTTAAAATGGATTAATATTTATTTTTATAAAATTTAATTTAAAAATCTCAACAAATAAATATTTTTAAAATCAATTTTACTATGGTGGAATCAAATTATCATATTTAACCTAACAATTTAAAATTTAAGAAATTTGAATTGACTCATCCAAACAAAATATTTTAATGATAGAAATTCAAAATCAAAGTAATTCAAATACCAAGAATTTAAAATTCTTTGAATTCATAAAATTCTTCATCTAAACACACTATAAAAGTTGTCTTCCGCAACAATAAAGTTAATCCATTTTCAGCTAATATACAATATTACAATATGGTCCTTGAAAATGACAACATGTATTGCTTTGGTTCCAGAAAGTTGTGATGCATACAAAATAGTCCTTTGGAAGGTGAATTTGTTTGCAAAGTCTTAGAATTTGGTCTTAGGATCTAACTCAACAAAACCATCTAGTAAGATAAAAATTGCCCAAGTTTTAGAAGATTTATTTTAGCTATATCTCTAATCGAAGTGAGACTAAATCCCCATCCTTGAGGCTGCAATTAAGGCAATCCACAAAGAGGATACAACCAAGGCAGGCTAGGGGTAAATTAAGGCAGGCTAGGAGTGAATTAAGGCATATTATCAGAATTTGGTCTTAGGGTCTAACTCACCACACCTGTACAAAATTGGCTTGTTAGGTGAAAATTGTCCCAGCTTTATAAGCTCTACTTTAGTTATATCTCTAATTGATGTGAGGCTAAAAAGTCACCCTTTTGTTGCAATTAATGCAATCCCCAAATTAGTCCTTTGGAAGATGAATTTGTTTGCCGGTTCTTACAATTTAGTCTTAGAGCCTAACTCAATTCTATAAAATTGATTTGTAAAGAGAGGATTAACCAAGTTTTATAACCTTTATTTTAGTCATATCTCTAATTGATGCAAGACTAAACCACCACCCTTGAAGCTGCAAATAAAGCAGCCCCCAAAGAGGCTGCAACTAAGGTGGGCTAGAGGTGACTGCAACTAAGGCAACATTCCAACACTCCCCCTTGCGCTCAAAGCTACTAGCCTGAAGTGTGAGAAATGCGAGTAATCCAATAATGGATCTAGGATAAACTCTAATATCATTTTAAAATTTGGTCTTAAGGCCTAACTTAACCCGACAAAACCTAACATGTATGATGAAGATTGTCCAAGCTTTATAGCTCTATTTTAGCCATAACTAGTCAATGTGAGACTAAACCACCACCCTTAAAACTGCAATTACGGCGGCGAAAGAGACTGCAACTAAGGTGGGCTAGGGGTGACTGCAATTGGCTCTCCAACACAGGTTAATAACTTGTTAGCAAGTTTACACTTTTGGAGAACAATTTATAATTTTATATAAACATACACTTTCAGCAACCAAAGCAACAAAAGTTGTCACCTTCCAGAACAAAATGATATATTACCTCGCCCATTTTCTATATGTTCATGTACATATATAATTCTTTGTTGAGAAGAAATATTAGGAGACTTCGCAGCAGTTACAACTAACAAGTGACTTTCAATTCTTGTTTATGATGCTAAAACAACACTGAAATCTTGAGTAATGTCAACCAAATCCATTTCTAGCTATTTCATTATATCGGTCAGGACCCATGATTCCATTATTATTTTTAGAATATTGGATTTGAGTCTAACTCAACCCTACAAAATCGGTTTGTAAGATAAGGGTTGCTCTCCATTTATATACTATTTAATTGTTTAATCTCCAATCGATGTGGAACTTGGGTTTTTTCCAATACATCCCCCCACAACCAACACTATTGGACTTGATACGTGGATAAATGGTAAGTGAATAAATGGTAGGTGACCCTTTTTAATGATCTAAAATTGGCGGAACTTGAGTTTTTCTCAATACACCTCCTCACGCCCATAGTGCATGTTTCAATGGTGGGTGGCCCATTTAGAATGGATCTAGATAGCTTTGATACCATCTTAAAATAATGAATTTAAGCCTAACTCAACCCTACAAAACCAACTTGTAAATTGAGGGTTGTTCTCCACTTATATACTATTTAATTGCCTAATCTCTAGTTGATGTGGGACTTGGGTTTTTCCCAATAATTATCTATGCAAGAATGCCAAAATACATGTCCGATTAGAAGTAAAATACTTGATTTCTCCACCTTATAATCACTACATGCCAAAATGCATCAATTAAGGAAATATTACATGATTATTCAAAGATTGCAATTATTTGGACTAGAAATCAATCATTAAAATCAAAATTCTCGTAAAGGAGAAGCACAAGCACCCATTAAGACTAATGATCATAATAAAAGCAATAGATGACATGATCTATGTGAAAAACAGTAAATGAATGTCAAATTATAGTACAATACCATCATCATCTTGCTCCATTGCTTCTGGCTCATCTTCAGATGATGTCCAACCACCAGATTGTCCAGTGCCTCTTCTGCTACTGGAGGCTACATCATTAAGAGCATTCCATATTGCTTCAGCTTGCGTTGTGTGATTTCCATCGTCAATACATGCATCAAAACTTCCACGTACAGGGGATAGAGAACCTAAAAAATAGGATATTTCAGAAGAATAGTTGCTGCATATATAATGTCTTTTAAACCATAGAAAAATAGCAGGCACGGGAATAAAACATCAAATTGAGCACCTCCTCATACCATATCAACAGAGCTAGAGTAGTATATGTTCCACATTTACAACCCAAATCATGTTTTCTTCAAAATGAAGCCCAGCTAAATGTATGAATTTAGCTAAAAAAAATGAAACTTTAAATTCAAAAATACTGAATACATTTAAATACCCAGTAGTAGTACAAGAAGAATAAAAAAGCACTATTATAGTTAAAAATAGTAAATACCTCTTAAATAAAATCAGGAAATTATTTTTATAAATAGCAATATACCCATACATGCAGACTTAATTAATTGAAACATATAGTTTAAATGATGTTTACATACTGTCATCATCAATCATAGGATGATATGGAGTCTTAGGCTCAGTAATTTTCTGCCTCACAGGTTTGTTTGCCTCAATTTCTCCAATATTAGCCTCATCCCACCTTACACGTCCCCTACTACATAGTACCAAAAGCAAAATTCTTAACATTAAAAATGGGTAATATGATGAGCTTGAAAGTAGGACAGTATACAAATAAAAGATCATTGGAATACTTCAAAAATATATATTCCACCAGTACATAAAGAGTGAAGTACCAATATTCCATTAGCCATTTCCATGTTTCAATCAACAAGCACACGTTCACTCAGCAAGCAACACAATGTTCATTTAAAATTTCAAGTCTGATCCAAAAGAATTCTAAGAAATTAAAAACCTGTTTCATCTGTAGGATATACTTTCCCTAATCAATCACCTATGATCAGATATAACAGGTAATGGGATTCGCATGTATTTTTTCAGTGGCTGGCACTTACGAACTTTTCAGGAGCTTATGTTGATGAGAGGTCCTATGTACAATTGAATTTCCTTCCTTCAAAGGCACTCAATTTTGCGTCATACTTTTGGCCCTAGTTTTTATTGTCATAAGCCTCCACCTAATAGTTTAAGCCTTTGAGCTGAGTTATCGGCCTATCCATAATTATGCCGTCAAGACTCAAGAGTTAGTTTCCCACAATCCCATTACATGTTTTATAATGAAGTTTAATTTCAGGACAAGGTGAAAAGGCCCAGTTCTTTGAATGCACTTCAAGCCCAAGGACCCTATGCAATTGAGGAAGGGGGTGGTAAAAACATTAAACTATTCCTGAGCATCCACCTAATAAACTTAAAAATTTTAAGAGAGCTGATTCTTCACATCTACATGTTATCAATTGTGGAAAATGGTGGAAAGTCAGCTATCGGATATATCATATAGCAGATAGAATCCTGGGAAAATAGTGGAATTCACATAGCAGTTAAAATATATGATACATATCAATTATATATGTATAAAATATGAAGTTTTATTATGCAAAAATAAAATAAAATGCATAAAAATAGACATAATATCAACTCAAAAGTTCAATTGGACAGAGACATGCTGAAGGCTGGAGATGACAAGAAGATGCAGGAGAAGGTGAACAAATGCTGGCGTAGTGGAGTTGTTAGGCAACCCCTGTTAGTATTTAGTCACAATAGGATAGTCGTTACCTATCTGTTAGTTATATTACTGAGTTGGTTAGTTATGTCAGATAGACTGGTTAAGCCATGTTGCCATCCATACAAATAAGAAAAAGGGTGTTGAGAGGGAAGGAGATCTGGTCATTTTGCAAGAGGATTGGGGCCAATTGCCCATGAGAGGTGCAGACCCTTGAAGTTCAGTGTGTTAAACAGTTTTCTTCCTGCAATTTTTTAGTCCTTGTATTATTCTTTACCCATTCCTTACAAAGTTTTTCCTTGATCCTTAAGTGAAGCTGCGAACAAAGGTTCACATATGGTAGAAACAAGTTTTACATGAGTGGGGGGAATGGGACACTAGGGATGAGTGGGAAAAAAGTCACATGCAGCACCACATCCATCTCTCAAAACCTTGATGCCGTGATGCATGCTGCAACCACAACACTCATAACAACTGCAATAGCGGTTTTAGCGGAAGGTGCACTGCAACAGAGTCACAAGTGTGATCTGAGAAATTCTCCAAAGATCATCTCCCTAATATTGACAAACTCTATGAAAAGGACAATTACCCACAAAAACATGCTACAACCTAATATAGTCTACCTTCTTAAGCACAAAAATACAGGAACTTTGAACCTTTGACTTTGTTTTAATAATGTGCAGATTTTGAAACATAGGTTGTCTGTTTCCAAGAGCCTATATTCACCAATAAATTTGAAAAATATTCAACTCATTAGAAATTACAATTATCCTTTTGAAACTTTCATGGTTAAATTATCCCAGGGGAAAAGATTCCGCATTTTATCTCACTATAGTATAGGATATGCAATAAGCAGGACCATTCAGTTTCACTCAGATTAAGAATTTTCTTGTAAAAAATTATACAAGTAAACTAATAAAAAGAAGACTTTTGTTTGCATTACTTCATTTTGGAAGACAGATTAGTTCTTCAAACACCAAAAGTATGCAAGGCAATCCTGAAGTCGCTTGATCAACTGGGAAAAAATAAGAGGCTGATGCAGTAAGTTATTGAGCTTCAATAACAAAAATTGTTAGGAGAAATAAAGAAAAGCAAAAAATCTAAGCAAACACCATCAGAATGTCAAAAAAACTAAAAATACATATAATAAATTGAGAGAAATATTAGTGAACTAGGAATTTGATGAAAAAGCATGGGAAAATACACTCCAAAACGAATCTAAACAAGAATGCTTGCATTCTCAACAAACATTCATACTTAATCAAAGTGAAATGCTTCAAGTGTATATCATGATATGCAATACAAAGTTTTGATTGATTACAACATCAACAAGATTACACATAAGAGCACAAGCTCTAGGGATTTAAAATATAATAATATGAGAAAATTAGAATGTCCAATTGCTTGATGCAAAGAATAAAACTGAACTCTGAAGCTGAAAGGTAATGGAGTCATGAGAGTTGAGAAATCCACTTAAAAGCCCTGCTATAGAAAAGTATTATTGTATCCTTGTTTCAAAAATTCCATATGGTTCTGCTAGATCATTCATATTACATGATAAGTAGAGGAATATGCTCCTTTCCACAATTCTATACATTGTCTAGCGTATGTTCCTTAGTATGTGTAACAAAGTTGAAAATCTTTTAAATTAACAGATTTGACTATCATAGCATCATCAATTAAAAGGAAACAGACAGTCAAACCCTAAACCTTGAGGATATTAAACACGTAAAAAGCCCCTTGAAGTCTTGAACGCAAACCTACATACAACCAAATTTAACACGGAAATACAAAATACAACCATAAATAAACATCAAGCAATTTCACTACGCAGTAAAAAAAAAAATGCAAAGCACGAGAAATTCAAAATTCATATTAGGTGAAGAAGAACTTTGAAAACAACAAGTCCAAAACCACTACTCTGGTGAATTTCATAACCAAATTGAAAATTCACAAATTAAAGCGATAAGAGTTCATTGTCGAAACACCGATTAACATTTTCATTGTTGATCGAATCCTCTATGGGAATATTTGAGGGAAACGAATCCCAGCCAAACAAAACCTTAAAACTCTCATTCGAAAACTCTGTTTGAAACTATTCAAGTTGGGAGCGAGCATCGGAGTTTCCAACAGCCAACGACAGAAAACGAAAATCCATTTTCTCGGGAAACAAGCAGCGAGTGAAAGAGAGAAAGAAAACGAAGTGAGGAAAAGGAGAGTGGTACCTTTGAAAGGAATTGCAGCGTTAAGCTGCGAGCTGCTGTTGCAAAATGCTTTTAACAAAACCGTGTTTTCTATTCTAGCATCGAATATTTTTCATTTTTTCCACGTTCAAATTATCTTCCTATATTGCCCCTTAATGTTTTTCAGAATTACAATATCACACCCTTTCTCATCATTACTTGCCTTCAAAGGAGCGTGTGATACACGCAAAAATTTTCTTGCCCAACTAAGCTTTTTATCATAAGGCTTGGGAATTGGGATACCCATATCAACTCGGTGCTCATTGGATTCTCATTTGTATGGAAAACAATGTATAGTAGCATAAATTATGAAAATAATAGTTTTTAAGAATAATTATAGTCCCCTTCAAAAAAAAGAATAATTATAGTCTATTTAATCGATCTTAATTGTTGTTGAAAATGTTTGTGAGTTTTTACAAAATTAAATAAATTAATTACTTAAAATAACGTGACGTTTTTATACATTAAAAGTTAAAACTTAATTTTTTTAATTTGATACTGTTGGTTTTTCACTCTCCTAGATTAGGAATAATTTTGTGAAAAGGTTTTGTAAAAGTTATTCAAAAAATATTATTTTTTAAATGACACATTAAATATAGAAAACTAACATTCTTAATTTTAAGAAAAATAAATTTTTTTCGTATATTAAATTCCTCTTAAGAATTAAAATGTCTGTAAGTATAATTATTTTTTTTTTGTAATTATTATTTTAATTTTGATAATTTTATCAAATTTATCTTGTAATTTTTATAACTAAACTTTTTTCTTTAATTTTTATATTCTTGTTGCTTATTTTCTTTTAATCTTTATAACTTTATAAAATTCATTTTGTAATATTTATAAAAATAAATTACATGCATGAAAAAAGTAAAAATAATACATATAAAGATTAAAATAAAAAAAATTAACCATAAAAATAAGTTTATCTTTTAAAATAATTTTTTTATAATTTTATTAATTTTATCTTTTAATGATTAAATTAATGAAATTATAAAAATTAAATTTTGTTTTGATTTTAAATTCTACTACTATATTTTCCCATTAATTTTTTATAATAAGTATTAAATTATTTCTAAATTATTAAAATATCTACATTTTTAATTAAATAGTAAGAGAATTTAGGAATGTAAACAGGACAGATTAGATGAATCTTTTATCTGATCTGATTAAAATTAATGAATTCGGTTAATTAATTAATTAATTAATTTATTTATTTATTAAATTGAACTCAGCCAAACTCGATCACAAACGAGTTAAAATGAGTTGGATCAATCGAATTAACATAATTAAATTTATTTTTTTATAAAAATTTAAATATTTTATAATTGATGTAAATAATTTGATATCTTATTATAAATGCAATGCTATCAACTCATAAAACAAATAATGATACAAATTTAATTTTAAAATAAATTTATTGATTTATTATATTATTATCAACTCAAACAATTAACATTAATACAAAATAAAAGTTAAAATAAATATACTATATTATTACGATGTTATCAACTTAAAAGCACAAAATATGTTACTAATCAAGTGATAAAAAATATTGTCCTAAATAAATGATCATCCAAAAATTAACTAATTATTATTCTTTTATATTTTTATTTCGTTGAGTTAGATGAGTCAAAAATACAAATTTATTATCTAACTCGTGCAATATCAAATTTGGATCGGATTTGATTTAAATACTAAAAAAATTTGATACAAATTTATTGTATCAGTTTGAATTCAAGATATTACATCATTTTTAACATAAGGAACTCACTTACAAATAACTATTTAAATTATCTAATAATTTTATATATTTATATAAGGACAATTTTTTATTTTTATTTAAGTATTATTTTTAACAATTTTAACGTTTTAAATAATAAAGGATGCAAAAGAAAATTGATGCGTAAATTTTATCTTATAACTGTTTTTAATTAACAATAATTATATATTATCTCATTAAATGAGTAAACATAAATACGAAGTTATTTTTTACTACTACTAGTATTAATAAAATAAATAAATAAATAAATATTTTATACTAATAATATAATATAATTAAAAAAAAACTCAAAACAAATGCAAGTTTGGTCAACTCTTGCTAACATATAAAGACAGGATATTTTGAGAAAAAAGATATTTTGAGATACATTGACTTTCTTAAATCAGCATAAGCAACTTCATAAGAATCTTTAAAATAAAAATGATTTTTTATCTCTCAAAAAAATATTGAAATCGAACACAGATGCACCCTCTGACGTCTAACCCTCTCTGCAAAGAGGCATCTTATCTTTTATAAAGGTCAAAACCAAAGCCTAAGATTAAGAAAGCTCAAAGCCTCAAGCACTGGTTGATCATATGTGGATTTGCACTCACACATTGTGCTATCTACCTACCGATGCAAACCACATAGCAAAACGCTTAAACGGTTAAAGGGGAAACTTGAAGTGCCAACGGGTAAGTGGTGGAGTTTGTTTGTTACTTTGTTTGTGTGATTTGCAAATTAGTTGAATGATTGGATCCCCCATCACCTCACAAGGTATTTTTACTCTGTTGCCTTACTTCATTCTATATGGAGCTTCTTCCTCATTGACTTTGGAAAATATGTCTCCAATCATTCTAAAATGGTCTCAATCCCCAAAATTTTATATCTTATTGGAAATGAGAAGTGTAAATAAATTTGTTTTGTATTTCACTTCTAAAAGGGTCTCTTCCATTAGATCCTATTATTACCAGTTGTTAACTTCTTATCAATTTTTGTTGACAATATCTTTTGAAACTGTGAGCTGTAAATTTATGATATTTTTGTTTGCTTTTGTCAGATCAGGAGTGTGTGGTTGAAGGAAAAGGGGCATAGGGGAATTTGAAGTTGAATATGCAGAGTGGCGTAGATAGAAAAGAGAACATGGACAGGCTCAGTGACTTGCCTGACTTTGTTTTGCTCAATATAATGAAATTTATGAGCATGAAACATGCTGTTCAAACTTGTGTTTTGTCTAAAAGATGGAAGGAACTATGGAAGCTTGTGACAAATTTAGCATTGAATTCTTCAGACTTTACCAACCTTGTCCATTTTAGCAAATTTGTATCTTGGGTTCTGTCAAATCGGGATGGCTCCATTTCTCTGCATAGTCTAGATTTGAGGCGTAAGGGCTGCATTGATCATGAATTACTGGATAGGATCATTGAACATGCTGTGTCACATAATATTCAGCAGTTGACAATTGTGGTTAACTTAAATGTTAAACTTGGTTTTAAGCTGCTCCCTAGTATCTTTTCTTGTAAATCTTTGACATTTCTTAAGCTTTCCATTTGGGCTGTTCCTTGGATGACAGAACTTCCAAGTTCCCTGCAGTTGCCAGCATTGAAAAGCTTGCATCTTGAGCATGCCACTTTCACTGCGAGTGACAGTGACTGTGCTGAGCCCTTTTCAGCTTGCCACAAATTGAATACTTTGGTTCTTGACCGTTGTAACCTGCATCATGGTGCAAAATTCCTCTGCATATGTAATTTCAACCTTTCTAGTTTGTCTATAGGTAGTACCATCCAAGAGGCACCTTACAAATTTGTGCTTTCTACTCCAAATCTTAGGTCTCTCACTGTTATGCGTGATCCTATTTATCAACTCTCTACATGCAATCTTTCTTTTCTGGAACAAGTAAATATTGACATTGAAGCTTATTTTCATACTCATTTTGAGAGGACACATTTAGCCCTTATAAGTTTGCTGCAAGTGCTGGCTGATTATGTAAAGATAATGATACTCTCTTCGAGTACACTTAAGATTCTAAATGTGAGTTGCTTTATTTTGTTTTCTCCTATTTTGCTTTTCATGTTACTTACAATATGTCCCTTTATGTCAAAAATCTCTAAATTCTAATTCACTCTCATTGTGTAGGGTCTCTCTGCTTCTGGTTCAATGATAACCCAAATTCCTTGCTTTGTTCAATTGAAGTCATTGAAATTGAAAATGAAATCTTCGTCAAATATATCAGATGAGGAAGTTAGCAGGGCAGTGGAGTACTTACTTCAAAAATCTCCTTTGGCCAAAATTGATGTTTTAAATTGCTGAGAGAAATATGCACACTGAACTCTTTAGGTAGTGAGTTTTACTTGTGTTCAATAACTTGCTTCAATTTTTTGTTACCTTCTCTTCGCGATAGTTGCTTAGTTAGTCCCTTCTCAGTTCTCAGAGTGACAGCAAATCATAGGTTGCTATATTGTGAGCTCCTTGTTTATCCCCTTGTATTCTTGTTTTTTGGTTATTTGGCTTTGGCTGATGACAATTTTTACGGAACTATTACTGTGGGGAACAGTCTGTATGCTACATAATATTTCTTACTCTTATATCTCTAATATATTTCCTGTTTACCTTATACTAGGACCAGGGAAAAATAATTGCCTGTATTGTTTTATATTTAAATAATTTTTTGGGGATTGAGACAAATGTTTAACTTACATTGAATATTGGCTGATTAGAGGTAATAATGAAATGAGGCTGCATCAGGAAACAAGGTTTTTGTTTTGGGTGCTTTTTAAATTACAACCAATATATCTAGTGGTCTTGAGTTTAAGTTCTGGATATGTAGTTGTGTTAAATATTTAGAGAGTTTATTGTCCATTGTAATTTTACCCCACCCGAACAGGATTGCTTCTTGTGAAAGATACTTGTAATCTATACCAAAAAATTACAATCAATATTATTTAGTTGTCGTTTATTTGAACTGTATTTGAAAGCTTTTTTGCTATATTTATGGTAAATTTTGATCATCCTTGAAGAACAAAAATGCTGGAGGAAAAAAGCAGAAGGCCACATAATAGAGTGATGAATCTGAAGTTTATTTGTTTGCTGGTGTTATATTCTGCATTATTGTCAAGTTTTAATTAATGAAAATGGATCAGATAGCGGTTTTCTGTGTTAAGGCTAAGAATGATTTTTGGACTCTGTTCAATTTCGCATCTGACTATTTTAGGTTCAGTTTCAAGGCAGATATAGATACAATTATTTTGGAAGGCATTTCAGTAAGATTTGGAAGAAGTTTTTCAAATATAGAAAAGAAATCAAGGAAACTATTGGATTTAATATGACATAATAAAGTCCTTACAGTTTCATGGATTATTTATCGCGATTTCTTTTTAGAAAGTTGGTAATGGAGTAGAATAACATGCAGTGGGATAAGCTTGGTTGTTTGCTTGATTGTTTCTTTTAGTAATAAAGTCAGATTCACCTATGACCAGTAGCAAGTGGATGAATTTGAATTTAAGCTTTTAGGTGGTGTTTTATTTGTTGCCTATTGTGATTTTTAGCTTATATGTTTTCACTAAATTTTGGAAGTATCTCCTTATTTCCACTTTGTTTTCACTTTCAGGATTTTGGGAAGCAAATGGTGTAAATAACAAAAAATTGTTTTCACCATTTCCCTTCCAAGACTTCTGAAAGAAATATTTTCATTTTATATTTGACAGTGTTGAATACGTTCCCTGTTTAGAGGATATTGATGCTAAAAATTTAAAAAGCTGAAATTTGATGTTTCGAAATTCAAACCGTGGAAGAGAATTTACCTAGTTTCTCAGGCTCAGTGGATTTTAAGTTCATTTTTTGATTTTATTGCTCTCTGAATTTTGTCTTGATTATCATACCATGTTGTAACTGAAAAAATACTTTGGACAGTCCATCAGATTCAGAGATACCATTCGAGGCATAATTATTTAGAGTTGTTACTATTTTTGTTACATAATGAATTTAGACTACCGCATGGTATAGTGCATTGTATTAAACTGATACTTTGAGCAGAAAAAAAAGGGAGCGGGGGAGGAGAATCTCACGCTATGATTTTAGTCATGGCATGAATCATAATTCCATGTCAATTTACAGTTTATTCTTAAAATCTTCCAAGTTTTATGCCAACACATTCTGACTAGGCACCGGCAGATAGCAAATATTTGTATCGAATAGTACGGCCTCTATTTCTCCTTTTCGAATGTAAATAGAAGAGCCAAAATCCTTTATAATTTGCTGCTTCCTTGTAGTTAATATTTATGTCTTGAGGAGGGGTTGTGTGGTAGTGGTACTAGGCTTATGGAAATTTTTTGTATCATGCCCCTACCCATGTTTTGGATGTAGCTGAATTACTAGACAATGGAGTTGTTGTATGAACTCATGTCAATTAATAGTTGAGTAACTGAGTTACTATATGCAAGTGATAACTTTTTTAATATGTGGGTGTGTTTATTAAGGAAATGTTAGTGATGATGGATGAGTTTGTTTAATAGTGTGTTTGATACGCAGATAAGTAAAACATAGTTAGGGTTCATTTGATTCGTAAAAATTGTAGTACTAAACTATAAATATAATTGTTTCACGATTGATTTACAAGAGAATCATGAGACAAGGAAAAAAAATTTTGAATAATGACAAAAGAAAACATTTTGTTCCAAGTTCAAAAATACTCCTTATTACATGATATTATACGAACACTATCCCGGCTATTATCATCATTGTCCAACAACATCACTATTATCTACTATCTCTCTTATTGTCCATCACTATCGTTGTAACATACCATCATCATCGTCATTCATCACCACTATGTCCTTATCATTGTCTTTGTTGCTACCACCATAACTATTCTCATGATAGTTCTTGTTGTCATACAATTATTGTCACAAATCATCATAACAAACCTATCAATGTTATTGTCGTCATCACAATTCTTTCTACTCTCGTCTTTCTTACGATAATAATAATTCATTATCATAATTAATAGTAAAAAGAATATTGTTATATATTTAACATTATTTTATTTGTATTGTTCATTATTCGCTAAACAATGTACAAAATAAAAAGTTGTTTAGTAACTTAGTATTTGTCTTGTGTTATTCTCCGTATCTTGTATCTTTATGCATATCAAACTTACTCCAAGAACAATATAGGATACATGTTTTCTGTCAATTGTTTAAAAGGCAACAAGCTACACAAGCAAAATAATATGAAATTTATTGTATCATCCTTCTTAAAAATTAGTTATTTTTAATAAAATTAAGCTTAATTATTTTAATATGATAATGATTGTGGTGTAACAATGACCATAGTAATAATAATAGTGATAATGTATATGATGGTGGTAGTGGCGACAATAATGTTGATCGTCAATGATTGTAGCATCAACAATGATACTAGTTGGTTGATTGTAGTAATGATAACAATAGTGGTAGTAGTAAAAGTGACAATGATGATGTGTCAAATTACAAGTAAATGGTCATTGTCAAACTATAAATATCAAACTTATAAGAATTGTGTGCTTAATTTTACAATTACCATAATTAAATTGAAATTAAATAGAAAAAATTAATTGAGCATTTTGTTTTTGAATAAGCTAAAACAAATTTTATTAAAATTAATTGAGTATTGATTCAAAGGAAGAAAGTTAAGAGTAAATTTAAATTTAATGCCAATGATTAAAAATTACAAAATTTCAATAATAAGAAAAATTTAAAGGTTCATGTGATGACTTCTAATTAATCTAATTTTGTATATTCTAATTCTCTTATTGATTATCTTTGAAGGTGAATTAATTAAAATGACATTTTTCCCTTTCAAAATATGAAGATATATCTAATTAATATTCAATTAAGCCTATCAAAAAAAATTTGTTAATTCATTGAGTATTCGAAGGATTAAACTTCCTGTCGTATTTTAATGCCTAAGTCTTTTTCATGTGATTCCAAAAATTTAAGTTTGTTTTTCGATTCTTCCTTAATTGTCCAAAATTATGAAGAAAAAAAAATAGAGGTTTATTATTTTGTACAGACAAATTCAATAAAAAAAATAAAATAAGAAGAACCAAGAAAAATATAAAATTATATCAATTAAACATCAATAATTATCAAAGGCTAGGCTTCAATCCTGAAATAAGATTATTATTCCTTGACACGTCTAGAAAGACTTTAAAAAAAATAGTCACAGTGTACATTAAATCAGTTCAATGAGAATCAAGTAAAATTTATCCCAATTTGTTTTTCAGCCACTTATCTATTCAAAACGAAAGCCATTTAGGGAGAAATTCAGTTGCGCAATTTCTTTCTTGGATGATTGGAGAATCATCTGAATCCCCAGATCACAAAGGTATAACGCCCCTTTCCTTTACTCCAATTTTTTTTTTCTTGTTTTCAGGGGAATTTTCAATAATTTCCCGAATTTTCCATTAGATGCTAAGATTATTTTCGATCAAAGGAAAATCTGTAGGGTTTCTCAATTCTCTAACGATTTTTAGATCACGCATCGATGGGAGAAGTAAGGAACAGTGAAGATTGTAGGGACAGGCTGAGCGAGTTGCCTGATTGTGTTCTGCTTCATATAATGAAATTTTTGGACACAAAACATGCGGTTCGAACAAATGTGTTGTCTAAACAATGGAACAACGTTTGGAAATGTCTCACTAGTTTGTCTTTCAGGCACAGCCACTTTAACACGGTCACCAATTACAACAAATTTGTGTCTTGGGTTCTGTCTAATCGAGATGGTTCCATTTCCCTACATGATCTGAGT